TGCAGGGCCTGCACATGTGGGAGGACCTGGGCCTCCACAGAAGCTCCCTTTAGACAGAACTTTCACCAGGAGTCCTGGAGGGCTGTGGGCAGAGCAGGGCATGCCCCAGCCTACATATTTTTCTCTTTTAATGAAAAAATTTTAATATTCTGGAGTAGGGAGCGAGGCCCACGATGAATGAACCCATTGCTCGGCTCCAAAGTCAACTCCTGACCAGTTTCGTCCATGCACCAGCCATAGCCGCTGGGTTACCATGAGGGAAATCCCAGGCCTCCTATCATTTCGTCATGAGTATTCTGGGAACTTAAACATCAGGCAGCCATTTTTCTCAGTTGTCATTTTTTTTTTTTTCCCCCACGGTTTGTTTGAATCTGGATCCAAAATGTACAGACCCCGAGGAAGGTAGAAACCTCCTTGTTACCAGGCCCAAACTTGGGTCCACTCACCTGCAGTCAGTAAAGCCAATCTACTGACACAGGGTCCTGGTGAAGGAAAGCGCAGTGTTTATTGCAGGTAAGGCAAGGAGTCTGCGCAGCTAGTGCTTAAGACCTGAACCCCTGGATGGCTTTCAGGGAAAGGTTTATTTTTGTTTGTTTGTTTTTTAATTTTTATTTAAGTATTGGGGACAGGTTTTTAAAGAGCGGGTGAGGGAGGGGGGTTGGGGTGTGTGTGATTAGCTCCTGGATGTTCTGATGGGTTGGTGGTGAAGTAATTGGGAGTCAACATCATCAACCTTCTGGCTCCAATCAGTCTGGGGTCTACATGCTTGTGGGCAGCATGCAGTTAACTTCTTCCACCTGGTGGGGGTTTCAGTGTCTGCCAAAGAGCTCAAAGGATCTGGCTCAATTTTTTTTTTTTTCCCCATGCCGCATGGCATGCAGGATCTCAGTTCCCCAACCAGGGATTGAACCCATGCCCCCTGCAGTGGAAGCACTGAGCCTTACCCACTGGACCGCCAGGGAAGTTCACTGGCTCAGAATATTATCTACAGCCCTTGAGAAGGAATGAAAATTCCTTGACTTTAATGGCTAAACTATTATTATTATTTTGTCTTGTTTGACTGTTTTCCTTTGTTTCAGCATTTTCTCACTTCTCTGATTAAATTTATTCTTTGGAACTCGGGGAAGGCCTAGGAGACTAAAGTTTTTCTACAGACAAGAGGCAGGCAGAGGACCAGGTGGGGGTCTGTCCCGGGAAGGCCCCATGGGGCCATCTGGACACTCCATCTTTTTGTTCACTAGCGATTTGTTTGTTGGAGAAGTTGTTTTTTCTCCTGCAGCATCTCCCAGTGTTTGGATCTAGCTGCTCTCGTCCCCTGCTTCTCCCCCACCCCAGTGTCCTCTGTTAAACCAGTAATGAGACCTAGATGCTTGCTGTCCCGTGGGCCAGCCACTCTCCACACGTGGCTACTTTTTTAAAATAATTTTTTTTTTTTTTTGGCTGTATTGTGTCTTTGTTTCTGCGTGCAGGCTTTCTCTAGTTGCGGTGTGCAGGCTTCTCATTGCGGTGGCTTCTCTTGTTGCGGAACATAGGCTCTAGGCGCGCGGGCTCAGTAGTTGTGGTGCACGGGCTTAGTTGCTCCCCGGCATGTGGGATAGAACCCGTGTCCCCCGCATTGGCAGGTGGATTCTTAACCAATGCACCACCAGGGAAGTCCCGTGGCTACTATTTAAATCGATTTAATTGAAAGCACTCAACAGCCACTTAAGAACAGCACAGGTGTAAAGCATTTCCTTCCCCAGAAAGTTCTAGATGGCCCTGCCTGCCTCAGGTCTGGCTTCTCGGAAGTGCTGTAGCCCCGACAAGGAGGCCCTGGTCAGGTGGCCTCAGCAGCCACTCATGCTTTGCTTTAGGGAGGTTGCACAAACAGTGGGCGGGCCGGAGAGCCCGGGGCTGAGGGGGCAGCGCTGGTGCAGGAGGAATGGGGGATGGGGGCCTTGGGTGGGGGCTGCGGAGGGGCGAGCACCGGGCAGGTCCAGGGTGTCCGGAGGGCAGCGCCCACAGGATCTGCAGGTGGACGGGACGTGGAGATGAGAGATGCAGAGGCGGGCAGAGGAGGGAGAGCGACTGCGGTGGGAAGGTGTGGGGTGGCTCGAGAGTGGGTCTTGGACGTGGCGAGCTTGGGGTTCCCGGGGGACCCTAAGGAGAGACGCAGCGGGTGCGGCGGAGGCGGAAGTGTGGAGTTAAGGGCCTGGAGATGGACGTGCGGGTTTTAGAACATTTTCAACTGGGCGGTCCTGCCCCCAGGGGACACTGGGCCATGTCCTGGCACATCTGTGGTTGTCAGACTAGGGCAGGGGGCTCCTGGCATCTAGGGATTGGGGCCAGGGATGCTGTTCCACACCCCACGGAGCCCAGGATGGCTCCCCAGAGATGACGTGACCCACGTCAGCTGGTTGGGAGCCCTGGGCCTGGGTGCTCCGGGCTGGCGGACGGAACGGGGTTGGGGGAGAGCCGGGCTGGGATCAAGGGACCCCCACAGGCGCTGACCGGGCGCTGGCCCGCAGCTGCACCACCCGTCCCAGGGCTTCCGCTTCGGAACCGTGTGGGAAAGCAGTGCCGAGGCCTACGTCAAGAAGAGCTTCCCGGAGATGTACGCACACGTGCGGCGCCACAGTGCGCCCACCGCGCCCCACGGCGTCGCCATGCTGACGTGAGGGGGGCGCGCGGGGCGGGGCCAGGCGTGCGGGGATGCTCACCCCGTCCCCGTCCCCCTCCCGGGCAGAAGCGACCCCCCCCAAGCTCAACGCCTTCATCATGGACAAGTCGCTCCTGGACTACGAGGTGTCCATCGACGCGGACTGCAGACTGCTGACCGTGGGCAAGCCTTTCGCCATCGAGGGTGAGCGGCCCCCGGGACCAGTGACCTGCGGGCTCCAGGCGGGCACAGCTCCTGTGGGTCTGCGTCCAGTCCGGTCCCAACCCAAGGCCCGGCCTCCCCCAGGCTATGGCATCGGACTCCCCCGGAATTCGCCGCTCACCTCCAACCTGTCCGAGTTCATCAGCCGCTACAAGTCCTCCAGCTTCATCGACCTCCTGCACAAGTGGTACAAGATGGTGCCTTGTGGCAAGCGGGTCTTCGCCGTTACAGAGGTAGGGCAGGCCCGGGACGCAGGGAGGGGTAGGCGTGGGGGGCTCTGCGCCTGTGTGTCCTTCACCAAGGTGACCAACCCCTGCTCGTTCCCAAGACTGTGTGTTTGCCCGCTTTTCTGCACCCTGTTCATCCTCCAAAACCCCAGTTCCAGTGGCCTTTCTTCTGTGACACCTCACCTCTGAAAATGGAGCCCTAGCCTTCCAATCCGGCTCCACAGCCCCAGGCCCTTCTCCCTGGCCCCACCTCTGCCCCCACCCCCGTCCAAGGCCAGGGCTTCCCAAGGGTCTGCCATGACCAGGAGGGGTTTTGTGCCTGCGTCCTGCCCGCAGATCTTCCAGATGGGCATCTACCACTTCTCAGGACTCTTCGTGCTGCTCTGCCTGGGCCCGGGCAGTGCTCTGCTCAGCTCGCTGGGGGAGCACGTCTTCTACCGCCTGGCGCTGCCGCGCATCCGAAGGGGCAACAAGCTGCAGTACTGGCTGCACACGAGCCAGGTGAGGAGCGGGGGCTGCGGGGTGGAGGGAGGGGGAGGGTGTGCAGGATGGCCTTTTGCTGACCCGACCCCGACGTGACTTCTGTCTTGGCTCTTAGAGAATCCATCGCGCCCTCAACACGGAGCCGCCCGACAGGCAGGAGGAGCCGGAGCCGAGGTAAGGGGCCCTGGGGGCTGCTCTCCACCCCAGCAACTCCCATCCCTGCCCTCCAGCCCCGACAGGCTGGATGGACCCCGGGGTCACCAGTCCCAAAGGGCAGAGTGGGACTGTGGGTAGGATGCGGCTGCCCAGCCCCATCCGTCCCCAGGGGTCTCGAGGAGCCGCAGCAGGGCACTCTGGCCGCCCCCGCCGGCCTGGGGGGCTGGACATGGGTGCGCCAGGCCTCGGTGAGGGAGTGTCGCGCGCACTTCCTGCTGGAGCCGGCCGTGGCCGCCGCCGCTGCCACCACTCCCGTTGAGGATGCCCCAGACGCGGATGGGGATGCGGGGATGGGCTGCCCGGGGTCCCTGTCTGGCTCTGCTCCAACGGCCGCCCGCCCGCCGAGCTGTTCTTGGGCGCCCCACGCCCCGAGGAGCTAGAACAGCTGGAGCAGCGCATCGCAGGCGCACGCGAGAGGCTCCGCCAGGCGCTGGTGCGGCGCGGGCAGCTCCTCGCCCAGCTCGGGTACGGTGCCCGCCACGGGCCGCGCAGCCGGCTCCAGGCCTCCGAGGAAGCACCCGTGGCCGCCCAGTGACGCGGGACCAGGCCCTCCTCCACCTGCAGTGGGGGCTCTGAGGAGCCTCGCCTGGCCTCCCCGCACACACAAACGCTGGCTGGACGCCGTCAACAGTTTATTCTATATACAAACACCATTTTGTACACTGCAATTAAATAGAGTGGAATGAGCCCTCTGCTCCATTCCTCACGGTGTAACTTGGGTTGGGCCACCGGCCGTGTCTTCACCCCGAGCAGGGCAGGACCCCGGCGCCCCCCGTGGCCGCGTCCGGGGCCCCAGCCTGGGCGTGTGGGCTGGCGGTGGAAAGGCACTGCACACGAGGGAGCACCAGCTGAGCCGGCCCCACTCGTTTCACCTTGCTCAGAGGCTTGCCCGTTTTGCCCTGGGACAGCTCACTCCGGACCTTTCACCAACCCACTGCAGAACCTTCCATGGAGCCCCCATCCCTTCTCCCACCCTGGCTCATCAGCCGGCCGAGTGGGCCCACCATAGACAGGGACAGGCTGCAGGCAGGCCCCATGCCCTGGGGGAGAGAAGCCCGCCTCCAAGCAAACCTGATGGACTCCAATACCGCCTAAGGCAGGCTGAGCAGTCCCAGAGCCATTGGGGACAGCCTCCCTGACCCCGGGGGGCTCCAGCCAGGTCACACCCAGCTGGCCTGGATGGCCAGGGACAGAGGCGGTGAGCTGCCCACGGCTCAGGAGCCGACCTCTGAGGGCGCATCCACTGGAGCCATGGACGCAAGGCTGGGCCCACTCACCCCAGCGGTCTGCGGGGCTGTGTCAGACCCTGGGGAGTCGCTTGTGGGGGCACTGTCCTGGGGGGCCCGAGGGAGCGCCCCACTGGGGCTGAGGGGGCTGGCCGGCCGCCGGTCCAGGAGAGAGGCGCTCAGGCCAGATAAGAAGGAGGCGTCTGTGATGATGGCAGCCGTCTCTGCCATCCAGCCCAGGTCACCACTGGCTGCTGCGGCTACCGAGGCTGCCGCGGCCACCAGGGAGCTGGGTGCCTCAGCCATGGGCCCAGGGCCTCCGCCACCACCCTGCAAGCCAGGGCCCAGGGCAGGGGGCTGGCTGGTAGAGTCGGGCGTGGCAGCCGGGGTGCCTCCGTTGTTGTTCAGGTCGTCTGGCAGGGCCGTGGGGCTGCCAGGGCCCAGCGGGGGCGTCTGCAGCAGCATCTCCTGGACGCGGATCTGCTGCAGAATGGCGGGCAGCTCGTAGTGGTGGAAGAAGTAGATCATGGAATGCTGGGGGGCAGGCACTGGGTCAGGCGAGGCCCAAGCCAGAACGCAGCCTCCGCAGAACCCCCGACAGGCTGGATGGACCCCGGGGTCACCAGTCCCAAGGGCAGCCCACCTCACCTGGATGAAGAGCCAGGAAGTGACGAGGGCCAGGCTGCTGTACTGCCCGTTGAAGCGGTAGTGGTAGGCGTAGAAGGCGAAGTGGTACAGGTAGAAGAACCTGCGAGGGGGACAGTGAGGCGCTGCCCACCCGGCTGCCCCCACCCTGGACCACACAGACCCCGGTGCCCACCGAAGCCAGTGCCGCTTGCTGGTGTTGGTGTGGCAGCAGATGGCGTCATACTGGTCGGCCAGCCACACGATGAGAATGATGTAGAAGGCCGTGGTGGTGTCGTTGAAGAACTCAGACATGATGGCTTCCATTCCTGTGGGGAGATGGGAGAATGCTGGTTGAGGGGGACGGGCAGGTGATGGCCAGGGCAGGGGGCAGGGCGTGGGAGCACAGGGTCCTCACCCACGAGGGCCAGGATGACGGTCAGCAGGGGCGCTGCGGGGAACGCGATGGCCATGTTCATCTCCAGCATCTGCAGCAGGTCCACTGCGGGCAGAGGGTGGCGGGCGGGCAGACCGGGTGAGGCGCCCGGTGGGGGGGTGGTGGGCAGGGGAGATGGCCAGCGGGGAAACTCACCAATGAAGACGAAGATCTGGTGGTGGGAGTAGCGCAGCAGCATGGACACGCTCAAGGTCTGCAAGCAGTGCAGCGTGAGGCCTGGGGCCGCCGCCTCGCCCCCCGCCCTCTGGCCCCCCGCCCCGCCCGCGGCACTCACGAAGATGACCATGATGACGAAGGCGGCCAGGTAGGATGTGCGGGCCATCCACATGCTCACGAAGCGGTAGTGCTCCCCAGACACCACGTTCCGCAGGAAGCCTGTGCGGGAGGCAGTGAGCCTGCGCCCCAGACCACCCCGGCCCCGCCCCGGCCCCGCTCACCCGGCTGGGCCCCGCACCCTTGTTCTCCTCGTTTTCTGCCAGGCCTTTCACACTGGACATGAGGATGTCGTCGTAGCCCAGGAACTCAGCCAGCAGCAGGCGGCTGAAGCGGTCCCCGAAGCACTGGTCCCGCGTGGGGTCTGTGGGCAGGACCGTGACAGGGGTGTGCACCTGGCCAGGCCCCCGCCAGCCCCAGTTGTGGTGGAGGCCCGGGGAAGGCCAGATCTCCATTTGTGGGAGTGGAGGAGCCCCCGCCCACCCCCGACCCGAGCAGTGATGTGCGTGACAGCCCCAGAGGAAGAGTCAAGGGATGAAGCCTGGGAAGCTTCCCTCAGCTGGAGAGCACGGGCGGGCCCCCCAGGCCCCGGAAGCGAGTGCTTCTGGGTCACCCCTCCCCCAGAACCTCACTCTGCAGGTGACACTCACCCAGGGTGACCACCATGACTGGGATGCTAAGCCGCTGCCGCGTGGCCTGCGACAACCGCAAGAAGCCGTACTCCAGCGAGTACTCCACGATGTACTCGTCCTGCGGCCACGCTGTGGGTGGGACAGGCCTGGTCAGCCCGCGGAGCCTCTCTCCCCTGGGAGGGGCGGGGTGACCGCAGCCCACCGGGGGCACTGGCCTTTAGCTCCAGTGAGCAGTGAGTACCTTTTGTGGGCGTCTCAGGGAAGGGGAACTCCTGGCTGTCGTTTAGGGCCTCGGGGCCACCTGGTGGCTTGAACACCTTGGGCTCGATGTCCAGTTCAAACTGCAGAGAGGGAGGCAGGAGTCAGCAGGCCCATGGTGCCAAAGGGCCGGGCCTGGAGGCCTCTCCCTCATTGACTGACTGGAAGCAGATACGCCCCTGTCCCATCAAAACCCTGACCCCCAACACTGAGCTCCCTGAAAGCCTGTCTCCGGGTGAGGGTGTGGGAGGGATGCGGCCCCCTGCTGAGGTCTGCACCAATACCCTACCCACACGGATCCCTGGCCCGCAAGTTCCTGGCCTCTGGCTGCCCAAGCACAGCCCTCCCTGCGGGCTGTGGGCCCATGTCCACTGGCATTCCTCTGCTGACGGGGCGCTGCATCACCAGGATGCCCAGAGCCGCCTTCCCGGCTGTATCTGCTCTTGGCACCCCCGGAACTGGGCCAATCCCTTTCACCTGACAGCTGGGAAGCAGCCCGGGGTCCCAGTTGGCCGCGAGGCCACGGGAGCGGGAGCAGCAGCAGACAGGGAGGCCTGTGGCCCTGAAGATCAGGACCGCTTCCAGCCAGCTCACCTTGACAGAGCTGTTCCCAAACACCTCCACGGTCAGCTCCTCCTCGTCGTCCTCACCCCCCAGCTCCAGGCCTCCCGGCCCCACAGCCAGCCCAGGGAAGCTGCCGCCACCACTGCAGAACTGCAGGAGGACCGGCGCGCGGCTCGAGTTGTGCTGCACCTCCACGCGCAGGACGCCCTCTCTCGGCCACTCGTCCCGCACGTGCTCCAGGCAGTTGATGGGCGAGCGGGAGAAGACGATGTGGATGTAGGCCAGGACGAAGAGCACGAACAGGGCCTGGGGGCGGGGGGCGGTCAGCACGGGCCCAAGCAGAGCACGTGGTGCCATCACCCAGCTGCCCCAGGAGAAAACTCCCGACCTCACTGGCTAAAAATGGCCTCCCTCGCCGGCCGGGCGCCCTCTGCACCTCTCCCGGGCCAGCCTGAGCCGCTGAACACAGCCGACCCGCTTGGCCATGCCAACGGCCCCATGGCAGGGCTCGCTCTGTCCCCCGAGTGAGACGGGACAGCCCTAACTGTTCACTGGGGGGATCCTGACACAGGGCCACATCTTGGGACGTCTGTGGTGATCGTGACTGGGGGGCTCCCGGCATCGAGTAGGCAGGGCCGGGGAGGCTGCTCCACACCCCACAGCGCCCAGGATGGCCCCCTACAGAGAACGTCCCAGCCCCGATGTCCACAGTGCTGAGGAGAGGCCCTGCTTGACGTCACCCCAACCCCCTGCTCCAGGAGCCCCCGTCTGACCGCTGTGTTTCTCATGGGGTCCCGGTTGGCCAAGTGTCACCCTTCAGCCTGGACGCCGTGTCAAGGGCATCGCTCCCGGGGTGAGTTCCCTGTGTGGTACAAATGATCGTGGGGGACCAGAGTACGAAGCCGCTCCTTGTCCTGTCAACAATGATGCTCAGGGGTGTGGTGAACTTCCGGTGGCCACGCGGCCACCGGCAGGGCCGCCAGCACCTCGTCCTCTCCATGCCCTGCCAGGAGCACCACAGGGTGGTGCCAGCGCTGGCCGTGGAACTCCCGGCTTCCTCTCTGGAGCCTGCCCTGCAGACTGGGCACGGGCTGGGTCAGCAGAGCACCCGCTCCTGTCCTGACGGGGCGGTAATCAGAGCACTGCTGATTTAAGCAGAGACAGACTACACATCCCAAGCCCCTGGGGTTCAGGTCACGGCAGACAGATGCTGAGCTGAGAACAGAGCTGGGACCCTGCCTGGGGAGGAGGGGCTGGGGAGGCAGTGGGGAAGTCCAGCTGAGGCCCCCACGTCTGCAGAGCCTCCCACAGGCCAGCCTGCGCCAGGGCCCTGAGACGTGGCCACAGGCCAAGCGTCACTCGGGACCCCCAGCACCTCTCCCCAACGTTGTGTCTGGGGACCTGGGAGCTGGCGACGGGAATCCTGACAGTGTGGGACCCACAGCACAGCAGGGTGAGGTCAGAGAGCTGACCCACAGCGCCAGTCGTGCTCTCTGGGCCCAGATGTCCAGCAGAGCCGTGTCTGGGACACTGTCTGCTCTGGGCCATAAGGACGACGCTGTACAACGTGATGAGATACCACAAAAAGTGCTGACACGCAGGATGGCCCGATGCCAGGGGCTGCCCGAGCACTTCCCCCGGAGACACACGTGCCTGCCATCACCCCCAGTTTGCAGATGAGGAAACCAAGGCACAGAGACCACGCGGCCAGGAGGGGTGGAGCCAGGAGTTCAACCTGGAACACACGCCAGGCAGGGCCAGCTGGGCCCCGAGAGCAGGGGCACTTGAACGGACGGGGGGCTGGTGGCACCATGACCTCGCTGAGTGGCCCCCATGACCCCACTGTCACCCTGGCGCCCCCTCCAGCACCCCTCACTGGTGTCTGCCCCATCACTGTCCTTATCCGGGTCCTGAAACCCCAGGTGGGGTCCATCACCCTTGACTGAGTGTGTGGGTCCCCAGAGGTAGGCCAAGACTCTCTCACCCCTTGACAAGGCTTGCCCCAGATCTGGACTTGTTTCCCCACCATGGAACAAGCTGTCTGCCCAGGCTTCCCTCCCCCTACAACCTATCATCAGACACACAGGGCAGCCCTACCCACGCGGGGAAAGCAGGGTGTACTCAGCAGCCCCGCCCACCTCGCTCTCAGGATTTCAGGAGTCTTGTCCAGGGCCTTTCCTGCCCTCTGCCTGCCAGCTGGCCTGGCCACCTCACAGGCCCTGGGTGCTCCAGCCCCCCAACCTCTGGCACCCTGTGACCCCCATGCTCCAACTCACCAGCCACACGGCTGCGCCGTCCCGCCAGCTCCAGGGCCTCTGCATGCGCCGCTTCTGCTACCCACCTCCTTCCTCGCAGCCTGAGGCTGCCTGATGTGACACAGACCCTGCCCTGCCGGCTGCCGTCTCTCCCCCTTCCTCCTGGTCACCCTACTCATCGCTGGGCCCAGAGACTGGCACGAGGCGGCAAAGAGGATGGCAAGGGCGGCTCCCGCCAGCAGTGAGCAGAGAGGAACAGGTGCCACAGGAAGAGGCTGGGGAGCAGGGCTGGAAGGGGAACTTGATCTCTGTAGCAAGAGCCCAGAAGCTGGGCGGCTGAGAGGCAAAGGAGCAGAGCTTTCTGGAGCTTGAGGCGGCCTCAGAGATCAGCCAGCCGAGCCCTCCCTTTGCACACGAGGGGAACCAAAGGCGCCAGGGGTCAGGCAGGCTCTCGGGGAATGAAGGGCCTCCTGGTCGCAGCCCCAAGGAGAGAGGAGGTGCAGGGGGCTGAGGGCAGCCCGCTCACCCGGCCCCACACACCAGGGAGGCGGCCTGGATGTGCAGCCCATCTGCTTGGCCAGCCCAACCCCTGGCCTGCTCCTCGGGCAGGAATTGGCGAGACAAAGCCACTGAGGCCGGGCTCTCAGGGAAAGCTCAGCTCCACGGGGGGGTCCCACCTCACACAGGGCACCCCCTCGAGTGACACGGGCTCCTTCTGAGCGTGTCGGGAGGAACAGTGCTTTGTTCCCCAAGCCAATCACGGCCTCACATGGCCTTCTGCCTACGCCCCAAGCCGCCCATGGGTTCCAGGATTGGGGTAAAGGAAGGCCGACTCAGGAATCCTCCGGAGTCCCACCCCCACGCCCCCGCAGGGGACGCCTGCCGCTCCGGGACCAGGGGTTTCAGGCTGGGACCCGCACCAGGTCTGCGGGACGGCTCGCACCGCTGCCACCCAACGCCAAAGAGCTGCCGGCTCCCGACCAAGCTGGCCCAGCCGGCACCCCACGCGCCTTGCCCGCCAGCTCCAGCCCCCTTCCTGCAGACGAGGAATCCGAGCTTCCTCGGACATCAGCACCCCTGGCCCCGGCCCCCGCCCCGGGGGCCACTCCAGGACGGGACACGAAACAAAACAGCCATTTCTCCACTTCCTCAGACCCTCCAGGCAGCCGGGCTCGGCACCCAGCGAGCTCCCTCTCTGAGTTAAGACCCCTCCTTGGAGGGATCTGTGCCGGCCCTCCCGGCACCGCTGAACAGCCGAGAGCTCTGCCACCCGAGCGAGGACAAGGGGCGGGTCCACGGGAGGCCCCTCACAGAGCCACCTGCAGCACCACTGGCTGGACTTTGCCACTAAGCCCCACGGCGTGACCTCAGCTAGGTCACCTTCCCCCCCGGGGTTCAGAGCGGGGAGAATCCGAGTGGAGGCAAGCAGAAGGGCCCGAGGAGAAGAGCCCCAAGAAAAAGGGGGAGAGGGAAGAGGTGCAGGTGGGCGGTCCGGGGGTGTGTTCTGGGAGGGGGCAGTGGCGGTGAGGCCCGGAATCCCTCGAGTCTGGGGTTCGGGGCCAGGCCAGGCTCGGAGAGTGGGGAGGCGGTCATCCCGGACTGAGGATCCCAGGCGGCAGGGCCGGGGGTCACGGGGCTGGGCTCCGGCCTCCGGAGGTGGGGGACGCTGGGAAGGGCGAGGCGAGGGGTGGGGTGCGGCCTGGAGGGGGCTGGGAGTGAGTTTCTGGAGTCGGGATCAGGGGCCACTAACCGGGGGAGACCCGGGCCTTCCCGGGTGGGAGTTTCTGGGTAGGGGGCCGGGGGCGGCAGGCCTAAGGAAAGGGTCCCAACGGGTAGGGCCGGGCCTACGCCACCGGGTGGGAGGGGCGCGCTGCCCCGGGCGGGGTCAGAAGTCGCAGACCTGGGGGAAAGGGTCCGGCCGCCAGGGTCAAGATTCGGGGCCCCGGTCACCTTGAGCAACACGAAGAACTCGAAGAGACGACGGAAGGCGGGCGGGAAGAGGCGCGAGTAGGTGACAGCCATCTTGAAGAAAAGCGCATGGAAGAGCCGGTCGCGCACGTTGATGAGAGGATTGGGGTTGAGGTTGGGGGTGCGAGGCCCACGCGGGGGGGCTGGGCCGCCGCCGCCGCCGTTGGGCCCGGGCCCCGGGGCCCCGGGCGCCGCGAGCTCCGACATGCCCACCGTCGCGCCTTAACGGCCCGCGGGTCCCCGAGGACGCCTCCCCGCCGCCATCGGCCGTCCTCGCCACCGCCTCGCTCCTCACGGCCGCCCGAGCGCCGCCGCCATCTTCCGCATCCGCGCCCCAGCTGACGCCAGCGAGTAGCCGCGCCGGCAAGAACGGCCTCCCTGCGCCCGCGGGGAACGCTGGGATGCGGTCGGGCGGCCCGCGGCGGCCCCGCCCTGTGGCCTGGCTCCCGGGCAGGGAGCGGCGAGGGGCGGGGCTGCGTCTGGTCCGGGTGTTTTGCCTATCGCCCCCACAAGCCTCCGCGGCTGCAAGAAGGCGGGCGGTAAAGTTAGTAAATCTCTGAGGAATTTAGAGGTGTTAAAGTAAACTGAAAGGAAATACGACTGCTGGAGATGTTTTTTACTTGGCGCTCTGGAAAACTATGCCGAAGATAAAATTACGTTAGGATGTTCTAGCTGAAAAGTGATTTAATTTTCGGCCTTTAAATAGTCTCGCGAAAAAATTTGGTTTGAGTTTTTTAGGAACCTCCCTTCCCCACCCAGGCAGAGCGCGTACTGGGTTTTCTTAAAGGTTGCAGTTTTATCCCTGTCTTCCGCCGAACGGTAAAAAGCAATATAACTTCTCTCTTTCTCCGCTCTTGGGGTCGGTTGGGGCGTTTACCTGAGCGCCTGGCCGCAAGCAAAACAGGTTAAAGAAGGTCGTTTTCTTTGTTCTTCCACCTCCCAGCTGCGATTCCCCGACCTTTCCGGCACGTGGAAAACAATTTTTCCACGGAGCGGGGGTAGGATTGTTCAGGCGGTAATGCGAGCGAAGGGGGGTGGCAGATGAAGCTTCGCTCGCTGGCCAGCTGCTCACCTCTTGCTGTGCGGCCCGGTTCCTAACCGGCCGCGGACTGCTACCGGTCCGCGGCCCAGGGGTTGGGGACCCCTGCCCTAGTGACTTTAGCTCTTCCTTCTGAGAACCGGGCCGCTCAGGTGGGTCACCTCCCCATCTCTCTCCTGCTCCCTGGCCGCCAGGCCCCTGTCCCGGCCATTCGGGGATGACGGAGTGGACAGGCCTCCTCCAGCTAAAGTGGGGTCACGAAAGGTCCGTACCTGGCCCTGCCTTCCTCTTGGCTGCCACCGGGTGCCCGCCCGCGGTGTCCCAGGCCTGGGGTCCCTCGTCTGGACCACATACACGCTCACTCATCTTTGAAACGTCTCGGCGCCTCCCAGCAGCCATGGTAGTAATAGGACCTAACATTCGTTGAGTACCTACGGTATGCCAGGTGCTTCCACCTCCTGCTCCAAAGCAAGGCGGGGTGGGCTGCGGCAGGAAGTGTGGAAGGGCAGGAGGAGCCGGAGGCGAGGGGCCTGGGAGAGGATGCCTGACCCTGGGGAAGGACACGTTCGTGTCCCAGGGCCTGCACTGGGTGTTAGGGACACAGCGGCGGCCAATGCAGTACCGGTTCCTGCCCTAGCAGAGCTCAGGGACCAACAGGAGACAGGCAGACCGCCGAGTGGATATCTGGTCTGGTTCCCGATGGTGACAATCCCACTGAAGGGCACAGTCAGGGCCTCTGAGAAAGCCCAGAGCATTGGGGTGGGGGTGTTGGTTCCTGGGGGGGGGGGTCCTATTCTGAATTGCACTGGGTGGTCAGGGAGGGAGGAGACTTTTCAGCTATGACCTGGAGCCTGAGAGAACCTTCCAGACCTACCTGCCGGCTTTCATAATCCTGGGAGCCCCACTCCCTGGAGGTGGACGGGTCTACCACAACCAGGAGGCTAAAATCATTCTCTTCCTGTTTCACAGGGAGTGCTCTGCACAGGGCCTGGCATACGGTAGGCATTCAATCGATGCAAATTATTTTTTTTAAATGAATTTATTCATTTTATTTATTTATTTTTGGCTACGTTGGGTCTTTGTTGCTGTGCGCAGGCTTTCTCTAGTTGTGGAGAGCGGGGGCTACTCTCCCTTGCGTGGGCTTCTCATTGCCGTGGCTTCTCTTGTTGCGGAGCATAGGCTCTAGGCGTGCAGGCTTCAGTAGTTGTAGCACGCAGGTTCACTAGTTGTGGCACACGGGCTTAGTTGCTCCGCAGCATGTGGGATCTTCCCAGACCAGAGCTCAAACCCATATCTCCTACATTGGCGGGCAGATTCTTAACCACTGCGCCACCAGGGAAACCCGTAAACTTTACTTTTATTGGTGTAATTTGTGTGGAAATGGGCCCGTGTGGCAAGCAGCTGCTGTGTTGGGCAGCGCCGTCTAGTGCTCACTCCCACATAGGGAAACATGCGGCCCTGGAGAGCAAGTGAAAGTCATGGTCACAGAAAAGGAGTATAGCGGGAGGTGGGGGCGGAGAGAGTTCCAAATCTAAGCCAAAGACACAAGGAAGGACCAGACCCCAGGCCCGCCCTTCTGGGCACAGTCGGGAATTTAGAAGATGGGCTGGATTTCGGAGGATGCTGTGGTCATCATGTGGTACCTGTTTGGGATGTGTGGGTGGCATTGGGACCTGGAGCCTGGGCTGGGGCTCACTGAGAAGGTGCTGGAAGGTGGACAGTGAACAGGCCAGGTGGAAAGAGTGTCAGGCAGAGGGCGCAGCCAGGACAAAGGCCCTGAGGCAGGCCTGGCGCTGATCATTAGCGGCAGAGCGAGGAGAAGCCCCCGTGTCTGGAGCAGAGTGAGCAAGGGAGAGCGTGGGGCCTGGAGGACACCTTTGTTGAGGGGGCAGTGGGCAGCCATGGAGGACTGGGAGCAAGGGAGGTTCCTGACCTAACAGGCTTGAGATTTTATTGTTACTTTTTTTTTAAATTTTGGCTGCGCCGGCTCTTAGTCGTGGCATGCAGGATCTTTAGTTGAGGCACGCGAACTCTTAGTTGCGGCATGCATGCGGGCTCCAGTTCCCCGACCAGGGATGGAACCCGGGCCCCCTGCATTGCACGAAATCTTACCCACTGGACCACCAGGGAAGTCCCTGTTGTTACTGTTATTTTGTTTTCGCTGCATCGTTGGGGCCATAGGACCCTCCGGGGTCTCACTTAGAGCCCTGACACTGCAGGGAAGGGGCCCAAGCCCCTCACCACACCTGCAGCCCCTGTGCGCAGCCACCCAGACTGCCAGGCCCCACCCCCATAGCCCAGCACCGGAGGCTGAGGCTCTGGGGTTTCCTGCAACTCCAGGTCCTCCAGCCCCTGGCCCACGTCCCTCTGGCATCGCGGAGGAGATCCTGCCCCAGAATACCTGCATCCGCCCCCAGTGAGCCTGCATCATTCCACACCTCCCCTACCCCCACCGCAGTCTCCCCGGGATCAGTCTAGGACAAAGAGGTGAGTGCGGGGGGGGGGGGGGGGCGGGGAGAGGGTGGCTTGTCAAGGGCGGAGGACAGCTGCAGAGGCCCCAGACCTCCCTGCCACGTTCTGAGGCTAAGCCAAAATTCCTAAGATTTTGATATGTGTTGAGTCAACATGCCCTTACCTCAGCTGACTGGGGATTGGAACCCAGGCCCAGATGGGGGCCGCTGAGGTCATAGGATCATACAGAACCACATAATTCTGTAAGTTTTAGGTCCTGGGGGAGTTTCTCAAATTATAATATGACAAGCTTTTGGGACCCCAGGGTTTCAAAATCTGGGATGTCTGATCTGAATTTCTTGAGTTCCAGGAGGCTGAGAATCTAGACCATGGGTCAATAAGCTTTTTTCTTTCTTTTTTTCTTTTTTAAGCTTTTTTCTGTAAAAGGCCAAAAAGTTAATATTTTCAGCTTTGCAGCCCAGGGACTACTCAGCCACAAGCAGTCTGTACACAAACAGCTGGGCGCCAATAAATCTCTGTCCAAACATGGACATTTGGATATTATATGATTTCCATGTGTCATGGAATAGTATTCTTCTTTTGATTCTTTAAAAACCTCTTAAAAATGTAAACACCATTCCTAGCGCGCGGGCTATACCGGAAAAAAAAAAAAAATAGCATCTGAATTTGACCCACAGTCCAGAACAGCGTTGGGCAGTAGAAAAATAAGACAAACCATACACAGAATTTTAAATGTTGGCTCATGTTAAAGAACTAAAAGAGAATAGTTTTTGGTCATATATTTCATTTCACTTGATATCTGGGAAATATGATCATTGCAACAGGTAATCGATATGAAAAATGATGTATGAGGTATTTCACACCTGTTTCTGTCCCGTGTCTGAAATCTGGCCTGTTTCCCGACACTGACGTTTCCTCGGAGACACTCATATGTAGCCCGACTGCGTAAAACTGACGCTGAAAAGGAAAACGCGTGCACACCCAAATGGTTTCACGTATACTCAGACATTTTCCAAAAACTGGATCCGGTGTTGGTTTGCACTTTTAGATTGGAATCAGTTAAAATCAAGGAAAGTGAAGGTTTCCCTTCCTTGGCCTTGCCAGCCACACCTCCAGGACTCAGGAGCCGCGCAGCCGGCGGGACAGGGCCCAGGAGGGCATTCTCGGTGCCATCTCGGTCCCATTGGTCACCACTGGTCTAAATGCCAAGATTTGCGTCACCCAGCACTTATGTGGTACCTACAATGTCCCAGGCATTTTTCTGGGCACCTGGTGAATGTCAATGCCTGGGAGGTAAGCCCATTTCTCAGGCGAGAGACTGAGGCCTGACGGCATTGGGGGGCTTGTCCAGTTCACCAGAGGGAAGGCAGGCAGGTGGTTCTAAAGTTTGGAATCATCCAGGCTCAGTCTTCTGTGGTTTAGCTCCTGTCCAGCCCTGCAGAGGCCCCACAGCCGCCCGGCGCCCCAGACATGGCCGGCCCCTGCACTGGAGTATGCCTGCCTCGGTGAGTATCAGCGGGTGTCACGTGCAACTTCCCTGTCCAGAGGCCCCCAGCTCTGGATGGTGTCCCTAGAGAGTCACTGGTGGCC